ATGTGTCAAATGTAGAGAACAAATGTTAATACTTTTTAAATATTTCCCATCAAAGTCTATTCAAAATATTCTTATTAGCTTGAAATTTTACATATTTATTTACATAAACTGTGGTCAATGCTCCATAGTCACGCGCCATCTAGAAACACCATAGTTATTTAGGAACATATGATGCTCTGTGTTTCGTGTTACGCTTTGACATAAAAGTTCTCATTCTAAGTGTTGTGAGGGTGACCCCGGGTTTCCACCGGAGCCGTCAGCAGCACGTTACTGCAGCAGCACGTCTTGCTCGCGTAAGCTGCTGCTTGGCCCTTCCCACGAGACGCGAAGCAGCAGGGGAGCAGCTGTCACCGACCGAGCACGAAGTCACACGAGTGACTTCGTCAGTAAACACAACAACAAGCAGGAGAAAACTACAACATGGCTCCAAAAGGTTTGTGTTTTGTGTTCTGTCTGTTTTATAATCGCCAATACGGACCTGAAAAACAAAGGAGACCGCTAGCTAAGTGATAACTTCTCACGGGGCCGCACATTTAGTAACTTATTTTAAAAGTAAAGCAAAAGGAAGGCAGTACGTTTCTTTATTCTGAAAATCTCGGGAGCTTCTCTTCATTTCCGCGTCCGATTTCCTGTCTTCCCTTCCCCAACAATGTCGAAATTGACCCGTTTCAGAGGCGTCGCGCATAGAAAATAGAACCGGCGGGTAAAGGCCGTGACATGCTGCTCCTGAGACGCGGCCGACTCGCGCTGCTGACGGCTCCAGTGGAAAAGGTTCTGTTGACCACAGCGGTTCCTATCAGCAGCTATGACGTGCTGCTGCAGTAACGTGCTGCTGACGGCTCCTGTGGAAAGCCGGGGTTAGGGTTTTCTCCATGGCAGCCTTTCTGGTTTGGGGAAGTTCTGCTACTTATCCTATGGGTAGCTTTGCCCTGCTCTTACTGCATGTGATCGCTGGATTGAAAGATGAAAGTCATTTGTAACTATGGAGGTGCGCATACATAAGGCCACAGGGGACAGGGAGACGAGTGACACGACAGATGCGTTATGTGTGGCTAAAGCAGCAGCACTGGAGCACGAAGACAGCAGCTGCTGCAAATGACTGATCAGACCCGCTCTACATATATTCACAGGACACAGACAGAGAACACTCTGACCCCTGAGAGAGAGGCTGACTGCAGGAAGCAGCAGAAACAGTAAATAAAACGTGCAGATGGTTGAAAGCTCATGTGGTGTTTTCACATTGACGTTTTTATGCATGTGGGCTGCTGTAGCTGCAATACCTACTCTGAACCGCGTGGCGCCAATGAGTCAAATGTTTTTACACCCTAGGGCTTTAACTGAGATTTCCATAAGGGGGAGACTAATGTTTTTAATCAAATGCTGTTGGATGGAACAAAAAAACCTACCGCAAATTTTACTGCAGTTCACCCTCGGGGGAACAGAAAAAAATGCATAAACCCTTGATTAAACTGGAGCAGTTGGTTTTTCTCCTAAAATCGTTTCTGATGGTGCCGCTAGAGAACCAAAAAATAACATGTTAATCAAAGATCCCACCATTCAGTCCAATGTTGGTTTAGGCATTTTAGTCAAAACCAAAGTGCTGAAGCAAAACACAGAACATGTTACTAACCCTGAAAATAAAAGCTCAAATAGAGCAAAAAAAAAAACACGAAGAGAATAAAAACCGTTTCAGCCAACAGATCGACTTCAAAGGAGGTTGGCTCCAATTATATTTCATGCTAAGTCAGCAACCCCACAAATAGCTTGCTTGCACACACACACACACACACACACACACACACACACACACACACACACACACACACACACACACACACACACACACACACACACACACACACACACACACACACACACACACACACACACACACACACACACACACACAGAGAGGTTTCCTATGATCCCATACACACCCATTTCCCCCTCATGGTTGACTTTCACTGCTTTTTTTAATCACAGCTCATCAGCGAGTCTTCTCACTGAATCATGCAGTAAATCTGATGACTCAGTTGAACAAACTCTAAAACCACAATAAGAACACCGGCGGACACGGCAGGATCGCGGAGGTCTGCTCAGATCCAACCAGAGGTTATAGAAACAAATAGTTCACAATCATAAATGTGTAGCTGAGACCTGCTTGGCAGCATTGCTGTAATAAATACACAAATATCTAAATTATTATGTCTAAACTTCATTTTACATCCCATCCTGGCAAGAAAAGATGTTAATGCCTGTTACCAATATGATTCCCTATAAATCACTGAATTGATTTCACAAACCCAGACAATCACATCTCCTTTTCTGAAGGATATTTGGCAAAAGAAATGCAGTCAAATAGAGATTTATGTGCATTTCCCTCAAGAGTAATTAAAAGTCTTTTGGTCGGGCTGCTGCTCCAGCATGGGCAGTGCTTCTGGTCCCCTCCTTCTGGTTTTGTGTACACAGCTGGGAAATCCATTTTCATTTTCACCCTATTCCCTCTCACCCTCCTCCACCTTGTTTCATTCCCCATCATCTCCACGACAAGTCCACAAACAAACCCGACTCTGTCTATCCAGTTGTGTGACACAGAGGGTATGTCCTACCGGGTGTTTTGAAAAAACTTTGGAAAAATGTAGATTTTATTTAAAGAAAATATTTGAAAGTAAATGAGTCAAGGAAATCGCTGTGGTAGGTGAAGTTAAAATCAGGGATGAAAGAGACAAAACAGGCAAAACACAGCCAAACAAGAAGTGTGAGCGTGTGAGAAGAAGAGTGCTTGTGGTTATTTTTACACACACACACACACACACACACACACACACACACACACACACACACACACACACACACACACACACACACACACACACATCTGCACTGAAGAAAAGAAGAATGCGGAAGAAAGGCTTAGAAAAGTTGATTACAATTACAGGCTTACAGCGCATGCCAGCAGGATGAAGCAGAGTGATGGAAACTGGTAGTTTGGAGTCAGCATAGGTGACATTAATAGCAATAAAGCTTCTCCTCCTCTTGCAACACAAAGGGCCATGTTAAACATCCTTTAGCTCCAACTATTGCAACCATACAAGAGATAAATTCCCATGTATGATAAATGATAATGATAAATGTCCCGCACTTGTATAGCGCCTCTCAGGGTAAGGACTTCAAAGCGCTTTACACTGCATTGTATCATTCATCCGTTCACACACACATTCACACACTGATGGTGATGAGCTACGGTGTAGCCACAGCTGCCCTGGGGCGCACTGACAGAGGTGAGGCTGCCGAGCACAGGCGCCAATGGTCCCTCCGACCACCACCAACAGGTAAGGTGGGTTAAGTGTCTTGCCCATGGACACAACAGTAGAATTCTCGGTCTGGAGCCAGGATCGAACCTGCAACCTTCCGATTACTGGACAACCCACTCAACCTGTTGAGCTACTGATGCCCTCCTATGGATATCTGAAGTCATCCATAATTCTCACAAAAGTAGAAGCTTGTCTGAACTCATATAAACAACCTTAAAACCACGACTACAGCCTGATTCAGGCTTCCCCGTCAGCTCCAAAAGGGAGAGACACGCACGCACGGACGGAGCTGTTTACCCCTCATACTTCTCCGTCTCCTGGGGAGTGTTGCAAAGCAATTCCCCGCCAGGACAACAGAGGACGTAGCGCTGTTCTGTGGTATCCTGTCATGTATCCGGTCCAAGATGGTGTGTTTATATTGTGTTTTTTGTATACAAGAGACTTTTTAACATAGACAAATTTGTCCCTCATCCTCCTGCACCTCTTAATGCGCTCGCCACCTCTAAACCCACGTTTCCTGTCATTTCCATCCACAAATAAAACGCTTGCTGCGCATCTTTTCACTCCTCCAGTCACGGGGAATTAAATGTTCATATTTTTAGAGTTTTTTCACGAGGTATTCTTCAAGCTTCTCCGTGTCTGCCGCTAGTTATTCTTGGCTCTCTTTATGTTTTTGAGGGTGCAATGGCGGCGATGTAGACGACAGCGGCATCCTGACCGATCACAAGCTTGAGTTCTCCGTCTCCACGGACGGATGTTTAGAAAAGAGAGCTTGACTCCGTCCGTCCTTGCGGGGACTCTCCAGCAGGCCCGCAAGGACGGATAATGGCGTTGCGTGTCTCCGCACTGGCGCAGACGCAGAGGCATGAATCAGACTTAGAGTCTGGTTCTCTCTACATTTTTTAAATTGTTGGAAGATTTTCAAAATATGAGCGATCCCACACATAGTTATAAAAAAAAATCACATGTGTCAGTTTTTGTCCGACAGTGTGAGGTGTGGGACCACACAGCAAAGACAACACATTACACACACAACCGGGAACACTAACATTCTCAGGTTCGACAGGAAATCTCACAAAAACCTCTCAAGATCAAATGTGGCGTTGAAGTAAACAAACATGGCCGACGAGGAAGAGAGTTCCCCTGACTCCCTGCATCTGACAAGCACACTGCAGGTGGTGACAATGCTAACATTAACATTAAAATACATAGAAAGATCCAAGCATGACTTTAGACTCTCTCAAGACATTTGCATCCCTTTGTTAAAACATTATTCATCATTTCCTCTCAACTTTTTCAGCATAGAATCAACATTTTATAAGAGGATTATCCCAAAGCTAGCAGCACGCTAACTGTGTTTAGTCACCAAAACACCCTTCATATGGATGAGAGCTGCAAACAGCAGAAAATTATTGTTTTACAAATTATTAATTAGTGTAGCGCAAATCTTCAGTCTGTCAATCTGTGTGGTGTTTTCATACCTAAGCCGATGTATTGTTGTCTCTTATTAAAGAAAATCATTTGTGTCACACAATAAAAAGCTCGTAGAACATTTTAGTTCCCTTTAGTTTACTGGTCTAAAGTAGGAGTTCGAGTGGTAGGCACCTGGTCTATCTATAAGGTCAAAACTCATTGTGCAGAAACATAAAACATTGTTTAAACCTGAAACTAAGTATGATCTCTTACCTCTCTCGCATTGTGGGCCAGTGAATCCGTAGACACAAGCACATCTGTTGGGTCCAATGCAGCGCCCGCCATTCTGGCAGCCATTTTCACACACAGCTGACAAAAATAAAGAGAAGACGAGTTACACAACTGCTTCATTCTAATGTTTTTTTTTTTCACCAACACAAATCTTAAAGGATACTGTCCAAGCACAAAGTTATAAAGTCCAAGTTTCTCCATGTACAAACTTACAGAGAGCCCAATCCTAACACATTCATATTTGTAGATGTAGATGGTGCACCAGGCTGTACTCACGTTGTCCACAGTGACTTCCTGTGTATCCCTTGGTACAGGAGCAGGAGTCCTCTTGACAGCTGCCTCCGTTCATACACCTGACATTACACGACTGGACTGTAGGACAGAAGAAAATTATCTGGTGAGACGAAAATTACAGGATCAAATCAGAGTCAATACCATTCACGTACATTATATTACTGCTGGTTATTGTTAAGGTTATTCTTGAGTCAGTGGGCTGTGAGAAAACCACTGAACATGTCTTTAGTTTTAAACAAGGTAATCCTAATTTATTTCTACGATTTAGAGCATCAATCTGACAATAAAGTATTAGGTTGCACCAGAGATATGGGATGTTGTGGTATGGCTATGTCAGCACAGGCAAAGATAGGCTACTGTGATCTCCACGGTCAGCCATTAAGGTGTTGACGAGGGTCTCAAATGTCCCCATGCTCCTTATTTATGAGCAGCCTCTAAAAGGTGAAGATATTTTCAGACTTGTTATATATCTTTTGTTTGGAGTAGGACTTCTTGACTTCTGATGGAAGGTAAAGAGTTCATGATTGCAAACTAAATCCTTGACTAAATTGAATCTGTAACTGTATTTATAACAACAAAAGTGAAATAAGGCCTCAAAATGATAAATGTATCATCTGTCTGAGTATCGTAGAAGGAGCTGGACAACATTGTGTAAATGTGCTTAAAGGTGCAATATGTAAGAATGAAGTTGACAAGCAATGACGATTCATACACAGTAAGTCGATAAGTAGATAAATACAATGTCATATCTGGAGTTAGCACTCTTAGGTGTTTTACGGTAGGGAGCTCTTACTACACTTATTACGGTAATATGCTTCCAACATTGCTATCAGTTTGATGTTATATTTCTGAACGACTCGTATAGGAACTAAAATGCCACAAATCACTCATTATTCACTTCAAACACACTTTGCTGTATTATTTAAGACATTTTTAAAGCTGACGATTTGCTTCTTATTCACAGATACAGTGGGGCAAAAAAGTATTTAGTCAGCCACCGATTGTGCAAGTTCTCCCACTTAAAATGATGACAGAGGTCGGTAATTTACATCATAGGTACACTTCAACTGTGAGAGACAGAAAGTGAAAAAAAATCCATGAATTCACATGGCAGGATTTTTAAATAATTTATTTGTAAATCAGGGTGGAAAATAAGTATTTGGTCACTTCAAACAAGGAAAATCTCTGGCTCTCACAGACCTGTAACGTCTTCTTTAAGAAGCTTTTCTGTCCTCCACTCGTTACCTGTATTAATGGCACCTGTTTGAACTCATTATCTGTATAAAAGACACCTGTCCACAGCCTCAAACAGTCAGACTCCAAACTCCACTATGGCCAAGACCAAAGAGCTTTCGAAGGACACCAGTAAAAGAATTGTAGACTTGCACCAGGCTGGGAAGAGTGAATCTACAATAGGCAAGCAGCTTGGTGTGAAAAAAATCAACTGTGGGAGCAATTATCAGAAAATGGAAGACATACAAGACCACTGATAATCTCCCTCGATCTGGGGCTCCACACAAGATCTCATCCCGTGAGGTCAAACTGATCATGAGAACAGTGAGCAAGAATCCCAGAACCACACGGGGGGACCTGGTGAATGACCTGCAGAGAGCTGGGACCACAGTAACAAAGGTCACCATCAGTAACACACTACAACGGCAGGGAATCAAATCCTGCAGTGCCAGACGTGTTCCGCTGCTGAAGCCAGTGCATGTCCAGGCCCATCTGAAGTTTGCCAGAGAGCACATGGATGATACAGCAGAGGATTGGGAGAATGTCATGTGGTCAGATGAAACCAAAGTAGAACTTTTTGGTATAAACTCAACTCGTCGTGTTTGGAGAAAGAAGAATACTGAGTTGCATCCCAAGAACATCATACCTACTGTGAGGCATGGGGGTGGGAACATCATGCTTTGGGGCTGTTTTTCTGCTAAGGGTATAGGACGACTGATCCGTGTTAAGGACAGAATGAATGGGGCCATGTATCGTGAGATTCTGAGCCAAAACCTCATTCCATCAGTGAGAGCTTTGAAGATGAAACGTGGCTGGGTCTTCCAACACGACAATGATCCCAAACACACCGCCCGGGCAACAAAGGAGTGGCTCCGTAAGAAGCATTTGAAAGTCCTGGAGTGGCCTAGCCAGTCTCCAGACCTCAACCCCATAGAAAATCTGTGGAGGGAGTTGAAAGTCTGTGTTGCTCGGCGACAGCCCCAAATCATCACTGCTCTCAAGAAGATCTGCATGGAGGAATGGGCCAAAATACCAGCTACTGTGTGTGCAAACCTGGTAAAGACCTATAGTAATTGTTTGAATGCTGCTATTACCAACAAAGGTTATGTTGCAAAGTATTGAGTTGAATTTTTGTTATTGACCAAATACTTATTTTCCACCCTGATTTACAAATAAATTCTTTAAAAATCCTGCCATGTGAATTCATGGATTTATTTTCACATTCTGTCTCTCACAGTTGAAATGTACCTATGATGAAAATTACTGGGAGGCTGGGATCCTGTTTCCCCAGCAAGAGCAGCCATGTACAGCGCTCAGTCACTGTAGCCACAGGTGGGAGGGAGTTCTCGGGAGAAGCACAGAGCACATTGACTCCTGCAGGTTGATGACCTCACCAGGCTGAAGTCCACCAATCCGAAGGTGTGTGTGTGTGTGTGTGTGTGGGGGGGGGGGGGGGGGGGGGGGGGGGGGGTTCACAGCATCTGTCTGCATTCCTTCGTGGGGGTTGATGTTAGCATCTCAAGGCTGCTCTGGCGTCAGATTCGGATGACAAGACTTTGTTTGGGTCAGGCTGAGATAATTTTCCTCTCTGCCTTCAGTCTTTACTGATCATTCCAGTCCTTTAGTGAAGCCAGTTTAGGTTTTTAAAACTTGCCCATACCGTCCGGTGACCCTCTCCGAGATGACATCCCTTTTGCGCACTAACACCGGTATCGCAGCTAGAACATTGTCCAGCTCGCGATTCACCTCGAGTAACGTCCCAGTCTGTGAGGTCTCCATACGGACGGTGCTTTCCGTGGGTGCGGGTCGCCCTCCAATCGCTCCAGTCTTCCCAAATTTCCAGAAAACCAGATATCCTCCCACTCCAATCAGAAGAAATCCAGTGATCATCAGGCCAAATATCCACACGTCTTCAACGTCCTCAATGGACAGCTGGGAGAGGCATACGATCTTCCACTCCCATCAGGAATCCAGCATATACCCCGCCGGGTGTGTCCGCTGCGGGCATGTGGGAGCCCCCTGCTCTGTTCTCATTGTTGAAAAAATCTTATCAAACGCGTTGAATGACCAGTTTATCAAATCCATGGTTAAAAATAGGGTTTTTCAGAAGAAATGCAGAGAAGTGCTCTGTGGGCAGACAGGACAAAGAGCCTTGGGAAAAAAAGATAAAGGAGCAAAAAGAGAAGTGTCTGTACTCTGTGAGTGCGGGGAAGAGAAGTGAAGAAAAGCGTCAGTTTTCACCATCTAATTGACACAGCATAACCTTTCATACACGCCAGAGCTGCAAAGTCAAGGTTACACCAGCTGGAGGATCCAGACACACAAATCAACCTTTTGCTCACTTATTGGTCGTCAAAGCAGACATAAATAAACTGTGAAGGTCTCCCGCAAAAGCCGTTCTCTCTGCCCCAGACTGCTGGATTCCTCACTCTGAATAAGTGAATCCACACGAATCCTACAAGGCTTTACAACTTATAAGTTAATTAATTATATGGTTGAATGAGCAAGATGTTTAAATGAAATGTTTGAATAACCTGTGCTTAAATCAATGAAGTTGACATGAATATTGCTCTTATAATGATCCATCTTATGATAAGTATGTGTTTGATTTAACAAGTTAATCATTATCTACACTCATACACATCTTCATGAGACACAAAGTAAGGTTAAGGTTCACCTCACATAAGTATTTTAAACCATTCTCATTCACAGTGTTACAAACATTTTTATATCTGAGAAGGACGTGGCTTTCTGAGGGATGTTGGTAAATACCCAGAAACGTGTCAAATTCTGATTGGCCAAACTTGGCCAGAATCATAACAAAGTAGTTTAATAAAACAAGAATTACTTCCCGAGTAATTCAGTTTCTAGCCGAGTTCTGAATGAGCCAATTTGGGAAAAGCATCCTTTAGACATCTCTTCTGACATACAGTCAAAACCTGTTTGCACGCTGCAAGCTGACACAGCCAGATGGCTCCCTAGGAGCCACATCTACTTTGTACGCAAACAAGAATTCCAGCTACTGTTGTGACCTGGAGACATCTCAAGACTGGACGGTTCGTATTGGAGTTAATCTACGAAATCCCGGTGCCGTGAGATCCACCCAACTTCTGACAGTCCGGATTTGCTGGGGGTCTCCATCAGGGTTTGTAGACACAACAGATTATGTCTGATTCTGTTTAATTAATAATCAACTCTCTAGTTTATAGCAGACAACAAATTATTTGACACCCAGATTTCACAATTTCTTTCAGATACAAAGATTTTGATAAACATCTATCTTACATCACACCACCTATATATATATATATATATATATATATATATATATATATATATATATATATATATATACACACACACATATATATTTATGTGTGTGTGTCATGTGTGCATGCAGACATGCGTGCATGCGTGTGTAACACTTTTGAAAAATGGTTACAAGTTTACAATGCAACAGATCTATTGAGACTTCTTCCTCTCCATATTTTTCCATCTTACCTTTTACTCTTAAACATTTCTACCCCCCCCCCCCCCCCCCCCCCCCCGTTCCATATTTGGGATTCAGAACAGTGCACCAAATGGAGAAAGGACTGAGTTGCACCAGACATTAAGACTTTTCCAAAGAGCAGAAATTTCAACCTCTGCAATCCACACCCTTACTTTGAAGATACTTAAATGACTCATGTGAGTCACAATAAGTGACTTTTCTCTTGAGCAGCTTCTCATTTTGATCACCCACATCTGCCTTACTGGAAGCTAGGACTGAAATGACTTTTGTTGCATGAGCCAAATCACAAAAGCATGAATTCTGGATGTGGATCTTTTGTATTTTCGGTAAATGT